TCTTTCCCTGAAGAGGATTCTGCATCCACCTCCACGCCCACCTAACCCTAAGCAGAGACCCAGCCAGCCCTAATCTGCCGAGGAGCTGGTGAGGGGACCACAGCCTTCCGTGAAGCCTGGCAAGCAGAACAGGGCACTGCAATCTGCCCCTCACCCCCATCTCTGCGCAGCACTTGCCCAGGGCCATCTCTCTGCACTCACACCCCAACCCTGGACCACCCCTCTTCCTTTGACCCAATGAGCCCAGGCTCACCAGCTCTCCTTCAGAGTTTGGCTCAAATCTTTTAAGACATCCCCATCACCAATCTCAGGCCAGATAGCGTGTACTCAGAAAGCATTAGCTAAATGAAAATGCACACCTCAATTTCTCATTGATATTCAAACAGAAAAACAAGCTTCAAATGCAAAAGCTTCCTTTGTTTATACAGCCACACCTCAGCCCTCCAGTCTATCTTTCCAGTTTGTTAATCTTTTCCAACGGCTCTAAAAGAAAACAGCCCTATTTTAGGCCAGGATATCTGGTCTAAAATGACCTCAAGTCAAAGCCTAGATTCTAGCACGGGAGCCTGGGATTGGTTTGAGTCGGTGAGCTCCAAAGATCCTGTGACAGTGAGGCCCCTGGCTTGTGTTCAGGCCCTTTTTAGGCTCCATTCGGCCTTGCCTCACTGCCCACACACCACCTTCCTGTCCCCCGATGTGCTTCCTCACCTTCTTTCCAGACTTTTAATCCATAGCTGGTACAGCAGAAAAAGGCTCTGGCACTGGACAGAGCTGGATTTCATTCTTGACTCTAGCACTTAACTCTGAGCCTCAGTTTTTTCATCTGTAAAATAAGAATAATACCACCTTCAAGAAGACTGAGAAATAAGAAAAATGTCCAAGTGCCTGGCACACACAAGGTACCAATTTTAGCATCTTTCTTCCCGCTCTCCTTTCTTCCATCCACTGCTGCCCACAGCCCAAAATGACCTAAACTGAGGGCCACTGTTAACTACCTGGGACATTCAGCTGACATGTGAATGCAGAGACTGTTCTTCCAAACCACACAAAAGGATCAAGGTAGGAGAAACTGAAACAAAGCAGAGAGAGACTAGGCTTCTAGGCAGCGCAAAGAGAATGCCCTCACTGCAGCAGGCTAATCCCGTTACCTCATGGGGGCCGTAAGCAGCAAAAAGATGACTCAGGACCACATCTCCAGCTAGGATATGCTAATCTGACTCTTAAACTGCCTGGGCAGATGGTGGCAATCTCCACACTACCCACCAGCAGAGACAGCATAGTTTGCAGAAATAGCAAAGTTCTGCCAAGAAAGACCCTAAGACCCTCCTTAGAAGGACCAAGTAATTAAGGTGTTAACAACTGACTGATCAAGGCAAAACAAAAGAACCCTCGATGAGGCAAGAATTCCACCCAGATGGCTACAGCTGAGGAATGGGGTCACTACTGCCAGGACATCACTGACACACATATATCCTGGATTGAAGAAAAGCCTCTTGACTATAATGCAAATCTACCTTATTTGCCTTTAAAAGTAACACTCAGTCCTGTCTACACAGTTTTTATAACCTTAGGGCATCACAGAACTCGATCTGTATTCCCCACTCAGCTCACCTCTACCAGCAGAGAGGAATGCGGCTGCACACTTTTCTCCAGAGGTTCCGGAGGTCCACGTGCGAGCCAGAGACAGACAGGAAGATGCTCACCCTTTATTCAGACCAAACATCTCATTTTTCCTTCTGCTGAAAAGCAACTTCCCAACTGTGTCCAGATAGATAAATGGGTATATGGACAGAGAGAGGGATGGATAGACAGGTATGTCTTTTTCTAAGATTAACAGGCAAGAGGGAGGCCTCGAGTGGTGTTAACTACAGATTTTTTTTTTTCCCAAGGTGTTGCAGCAAACTAGAAGAGAGAAGCATCCAAGTCAACAGCCTTCTAAGCATGCCACCCGGTCTCCTCTTTCTTTTCTGTGATTTATAGTAACTTGCTTTCTACCTGCCAAATAAATGGTGAGCTCTGAATGTCAGATTCTGGGGCTAGCTGTAATCAAACACACTCTTTTCTTACTAATGCACTGGCAGGAAACTTAGAATCAGCAGGTTGATAAGCTCAGCCCCTTTGAAGTTCCAAGCACACCTAAATCCCAAAGCAAGTATTACGAACCCCTGGCAACAGCTGCCCGATGATTAGCTACCACACAGAAACATGAGCATCTTCATCCAGCACGGATCTGCAGCAGCCTCCCACACCAGGTCTCATCCAGTGTTTGCTTTGTACCTCCCGACTGACCCGAAGTTGCTAGAGTCCTCTCCCAAAGCCTGGAGTATCCCAAACCTGTCAACACTAAAGAACCCACGCCGCTCCCCCCGCCCCCCAGCAGGCCACGCACCTGCTTCTCCACTACCTGCCGGCACAGCACAGCCTCCCGCACGTATTTTGTCACCTCAGCCAACCACAGTAAGAACGGTCAGCATTTACTGAGCACTTGCTCTGTACCAGGTCCTATTCAAAGCACTCTGTGTATTAACTCAGAATCTAATTCCTAGGCCCCACAGGAATTTGCTGGAGGGAGAGAAATATACTCTGGCCCAGAGTCCCACATGGTTTCTAATCCCTATTTCTAGCTGTGCTATAAAGCTTACATAACCTAATTTGCATTATGCTGCTATTTTAAAAAAATCTCCAAAGATCACTGCTTCAAGCATCAATGGAAGCTGTTAGCTCTTACCTAAAATGATAATGTGGGAAAGGATATCTATTCTTACAACTAAGTCAACTTCAATTCTTGACTTAAAACAGACTTTCTGGAAGATGCTATTGGGAAAGGAAGGAACTTACATAAGAAGTACTAGCTCTGTGCTCTGTAAGTAACTGCTAGAGAGAAACACGTCAATATTGAACTCACCTCAGTGGTAGACAGCTTCCTGGCTCTGCAGGTTCATTTACCACCCATCTCCCTTCCCGGCCTCCTAGTAACACTGAGAAATCTCTGGTCAATGGATGGCATGGCCTCAGATGGTTTCAGAGTAGGAGTCTGAATACAACAGAACCTTTCTTGTTCTGGGTGACTTCAGAGGGACCACCCCCATCCCAGCACCACCAGGGAGGCACTGGCATACGCTGAATGGAAGTTGCAGGAAGACCACTCACAGAGCAGGCTGTCTTCAGCTTTAACTGCTCTCAATGTCCCTGATTTTTAGGGCTCTAGATTGCTAGAAATCTAACTGTTGGGGTTGGGGGAAAGGGGGCAGATCTCCTTAGTTCACTCCTGTAACTCACTACTGAAGATTTACCTCCAGTGCAGTTATTAATGAAACCCAAGAAACAGGGAAATGATAATGAATGATTGATTATAAGAGTAAAATTTCCCTCATTCGTCATCAAAAAATGTCGTCAGTGTTTAAATTAACCACTTTTGTTCTTTGCTACACTATAAAAACTAGTTTTAAAGGACTGGGCTCTTTGTTATTCATTTCATTCACTGCACTTATGTGGATAGAGGTCCACGAACATAAACCAGAGTTGGTTTCAGGCTCTCAAAACTGCCAGGGAAATTTAAAATGAGTGAATTTCCAAATGATGCCCATTTTCAGTGATGTCAGAGGGCCCATATTATTAAATAATTTATAAATAAACTATTAACTAAGTAAATTATCTTCTGACACTGCTAATGCATTATTTGGCTCCCAACCTAGTATATTTACAATAGGCCCAATTCCACCAACAAGGAGACTTAAAAGGTTTCCACTGGGCGGAGCCTGTTTTGCTAGAGAAGAACCTGTCCCGTAAGGGGCACTTGGCTGTTTGATCAGGACTGGAATGTACTTGGTACTAGTCAACTAGACCTCACTCAGCCTTTTATAGATGCCGAAGCCACATTCAATGTACATACAGATTCTGTATGGGAAAAAAGTTGTTCCAGCAACCTTCAAAGTTAGCAATAAAAAGAAAACTACTACTTAGAGACAAATATAAACTTCATTTTAATCTATCTATCTATCTATATATATATCAAGTACAACCTTAGCACAGAACATCTAACACATATGAAATGCATTTATGGAATGAATACACGTAACGAAGAAGCAAATCCTCTTAAAAATATTTGGCCTAACCCTCACATCTTTTAAATGAACTCCATGACAGTTGAATCAGGTGGGAAATAAATCATCTACCTAATCTGGAAAAGACAGATGAATTGCCTTACATCTATTTGGTCTCTGCACACCAGGTATTTACCATTCTGAGTCTTGCCATAATTGATTCTGCAAATACTTAGCTTAACTCAGTCAATTTTATATTTTTCCATAGTTACCTTAATAGTTTGGTTTTTCTCATTTTCTATTGCTTTTTTTTTTTATGGCTTCTTGCTGCTGTTGTATTAGGGCATACAACAAAGATCAGAGATATTCATTTCTCAGAGAAGTCTCTCTCCTTGAGAAATTGGCACTTTGATCCTCAGCTTATGTAACAGCTACACATAAATGGGTCCTACCAGCACTGTTACCAATCTTGCTGCTTATGAAATTCCAGCACTTTTTGCCCTGACGTAAAAATCTTCTTAGGTGAACACTTCCCACCACCAAATTCTTTTATTTAAACAGGTAAGTGTGTGTAATTCGCATATACGTTATAAGTTTCTATACACATACACACACTTAAAAGTGAAATGTCTCTCAAAGAGAAAGTAATTATAAGGGTATTAGAAACAAAATGCTGAAAATAACTATTTCACATTTAGATCATAAAAAATTTTAAAGTAATGTGATGATATAAGACCTAAGAGATCAAATACATCATATATGATTGTCATATATGCATGTTGTGTTCATCGATTTTTAATTTTCTCTTTAATCAGAAAATAAAAGCGCTTACCTTTGTATACTGAGACCACAGCTTACAGTCACTATATCTCAGCCTATTTTATACAAGTGATATGGCTACGAAGGTCCAAGGAGAACGAGAATAAAGTGAGATAAACGTGCTGAAAACTGCTTAAAAGTATTAACCTGAAATACACAGAGGATCCAACACCAGTTTTAAAAATACATTAACGAGGTATTCCCAGCTCTTCAATTAATAATGGTGAATGACTGATTCATGATTTTCAAACATTCACCCAAATTTTAAAAAAGAAGAAAAGGCTAATACCAGCAAAATCTATCAGTGGTTTGTTCCCCAGGTTAACAATTTGAGAGAGACTACAAACGACTCCAGGAGCCCTGGCTTCCCCGCACCATGCACTGCATCTAGTCAGCATGAGGTATGTTGGGAATCTATTGGACCAATTACCTTGCACAAGAGATGGGGTGCTCCCACAGCCTCAAGAAACATGGCTGCAGGCCACCTCCCTGGCTGGGTGCCAGCCCCCATGCAAAGAATATGGCTTCAAGGAGGACCCCTATCTCTGAGGAATTATAATAGCGCTAACTGACGCAGTCAGGAATGCAACTATTCAGTTTATGTGCTAAAAAAGTTTAAAAACTGTCAGAAGATAGCACAGCTCATACACTAATTCTAAGTTCTACATTGGTTTGTGGACTCCCCGACAAGAGACTAGGCTAGGAGGGGCTAAGTATATCCAGATATTGCTAGGTTTCCAAAGGAAAAGTTTTCAAACAGACACCATGGCTCTGAATAAAGTATTGCTCTTCTTTAAAATGCTCATTCACTGCTTTCCAAAAGGAGGTGTCAGAGTGCTGTGTCTGAAAGCTGGAAAGCCTCAGGGGGTCACATTGCTCTTAAGACTAAGACATAGAAATTGCCATTTCAAGCCAGACAACCTGATGGTTCTAGAAGTCAGAGAAGAAATCTTGAGGGCCCAAGTGAATAATAAATGGTGCGACGCTCAGAGGCTGGCAATAGGGGCTGTCAATGAAAAAACCACCTACAGTGGAGAAAAGAGCAGAGAAGCAAAACTTTATGTTAATTTCACAGAATTTGGTGAAGCCAAAAGCTTCATTTATATTTCTCTGCTCTTTCAGCTGTAAGTGGAATTTTCATTACAAAATGAAGGGGTGGGAAGGGTAAAGGGGGTGGGGGTAGGGGAAGGACACTTAATTCATTACAAGATTTAAACAGTTGAACTTGCATGGTTACCACTTCTAACAAAGGACTGACAGCTCAATTATTTTAAGTAAAGCAGAGAAATGTAAAAGTTTGCAGCAACTGGGCAGGTTTACAACATGGTTAGTAACTTCCAACAAACAACAACAAAAAAAAAAAAAAAAAAAAGACTTGGTAGAAACCATTTGAAATGACTGCCATCATGTTGGAAAACAGCACAGCTCCATTTTCACCATTATAGAAGGGTTGAGTTATGAAGCTGAGTCAGCTACTTCAAAAGAATTTTCTAAAGAGAAATCTCCAAAGAGATTCCAACTTGGAATGCAAATTTGACAATCAATTTCAAATAACAATACAGCTGCAGCTGCCAATTAATAGTATTCCAAAAACAAAGAGGACTGTTTGTAAATATTTAATTAATAAAAAATGGACACTACCAGCCATGCTTTTTCTTCTCAGTGATGGCTCTGTTTCATCCATAGGTCAGCAAAACGAATCAATGAAACATGAAAACTCCCAGCTGAGATGGGCCCTCTTGTGTGCGTCTAGCCACTAATGCACGGGATGAGAATGGTAAGTTCACAGCTACTTCCAGCAAGTGATGAGGTTTTATTAAAGTATCACCCACCACTAATAAAGGCAAAAGGTCAAGGAGCAGCAGTAACAAGCATGGTGTAAAAATTTTATTTCTGATAAGTAACACTAACATTTGTTTTAAACGATCTGTTTCATTCTCATTTAGCGGTCCCAAAGAAATCTGGTACATAAATTTGCCGTATTTTGTGAAGCCCATTCTCAGCGATGGGTACTGTTCAGCTCCAAAAAACAGAAATGAAGAAAGACGAGGAAAGCTAATTCATACTAAAAACAGACATTTTTAAGACACAGCAACTTGTAAATATCAACATGGGACCACACTGTTGCCTTCATGGGGGTGAGTACCTTAATAAAACCATTACCTTCTAGTAACATCATAGGCTTCCAAACAAGGTGAGAATGCAAGTGGAAGACTTAGGTCTGCACCCTTTACAGAACAACACAATGTTACCAACTGATCATTTTTCACCAGCTTAATCAGGTGTCTTAAAAAATAAATGCTGACCCATGGCTGAAACCTGTCACTTTTCACAGCAGCACTCAACAAGAACTGGGACAATCGAAGAGCAAGTTTTTATGGGGACCCTGTTGCTGCTTTAGATTCTGGTGTAATTGAAGAGGATAAGAGACCCTTCAAAGAATCCCAGAAAAATCGCTAATCTTCTCTCTGCATGAAAAAAGCCAGGGAGTGAACACAGTATCTTACAGAGTGAAGAAGGCCACAAGAACAAGAGAGGGTGATTGATCAATTAATTTATTATTTTTTAAAACTTGGAAATTCGGAAACTAAAATAATCACATTCCTCCTTCCCCATCTCTGGGTAGTGCCATCATTTTAATAAGCAATGCTCAGATAACAGAGTAAACCTTTATCATGGGGATGCCCTCGCACAGCAGGAGTACAAAGGGCTTACAAAGTAAATGGACTGTGGCTCAAACTAACAATCGCCTTTGCTTTGTTTTATCAGTTTGGTTACAAATGAATGGGTTTCTAGGGCTAAGTTATTATTAGTTTTCAATTCTTTATAATTTGATACCAAAACATATCAAAAATAATAAGCTAAAACAATATTCAAACCCATATTTTATTGGCTTTAATTACACACTTCAATATTTACAAAGTTAAAGTTTAAAGGAAAAGTCTCTATTGTATTAAAAAAAAATAACTACAGCCCGAATTAACGTGCCCTGGGGCAAATACATATCAATCAGCTAAGCATCAGTGACTGCATCAGGAACCAGGCAGTACTCTGTGTTACAACAAAGCAGTTTATTTGTGATCAGTGTTTGAGACTCTATACATCCTTCACGAATTTAATTTTACATAATCTGATACTCCTCTTAAAACTTAAACTTTGAACTGCTAGACTTATTTCCCTAGAACAGAAGGGCTGGTATAAGTTATTTTCCGGAAATGAGGTACCGTTTCACAGAACTAGTTTCTTTTTGTTTGTTTGTTTTCAAGTTTTAGAGAACTAAATTTGCGTTTGTTAAAATCAAAAAGTAGGAAAGATGTTCTTTACAAATAATTTTGATCAAGTATGTGTTCAAAGAAAGCAGGATAAAAAGGCTTTTTCTCTAACATTCTGTATGTACTGTATTGTTCAATAGGAATTAGCTTCTGTCATTTGCTAAAAGAATGAGTAGTGGGGAACAGGATATGTTGGGAATTTCATAACGGGTAACAGAACCATTCTCTTGGGTAAACCTACAGAGAAAAGAAACGGAGAGGACTCCAAATAAGTTTAATAATCCAATAAAAATTTCAGGTTAAAAAAAAAAAGAATCTTACAGTAATTATCATTAACCTTTTCCAGATTAGTCAGTCAACATGTACCATTATGGAAGAGGCCCACAAACTTTGAAGTTACTCTTAATATTTTCCACTCAAAATTAAGATGGCTACATCATAGGAAGAAGGATATTCAAAAAGGGATTTCATCTGAGTGAACTGTCATGAATTATAAAGCTCAAAAGCAATGCTATTGATTAATATTCTGAAGTGACTCTCAGTTTGGCACATCACATATTACAGGAGAAACAGGGACGGTCAAGATTCACAGCACAGCTTTCTGTGCAGGCCTCAGATCCCCAGAAAGACAGTTCCAACTGGAGTCGTGACCAGGTGTTTACCTTAACGGCTACTGCCAATATTGGCATGGCAAATCTGGAAAGATTAATTACTTGCTTAATTTTGTAATTAATGAGTTCTTGTGGCCTCACAAACTTCTGCATACTCAAGCATGATTTGAAATCTGATCCTTATTTCTATTCTAATATTTAAGCTATGGAGAAATCACAAAGCAGCAACAGCAGGTATTCGAGAGCACCAGATGATCAGAGGGAAATTACCCCACATGCAACAGCTTTACAAAGGCCAAAAGACATATTTACCTTACAGCCAAAATAAAGCATCGTTTTAGTAGGTTGGCATCACAGTAACATTTAAAAACCAAATCTTTTATGTGAAAAATGGGGGCATTACATTTCACCAGCTTTGGAAGTCAGTTATATGGCGCATGGGAGCCTTCTGAAGGGGGGCTCAGAGGCCGCGGGGTGAGAGCATAATGTTAGAGAGGGAAGAACAAGAGAGAAAAACTAAAAAGACAGGAAAAACGTGAATGTGCCTTAGAGCCTAGATATACAAGTGTTTTAAAGAAAAAAATTAAGCTCTAGCAAACCTGTACTAAAGAACATGGGACTTACTATGTCTAAAAGAAAGACACGGACTTCAGGACCTGCCCTAGGAGGCAGACGCTTTGGCTCTCACACAAGACATATTACAATGAGTCTAGTGAGTCAAAATGTATTTGGATAAACTGACCAGACCTAATTCACAGGAAGGATGAGGTGGTCAGGGTATCCAGAAGTTGGCTGAATGGTAAAAGCAAATTGCCAAATCAAAAGGAGCTAGAGAACTTGAATTCAGAAGGAACTCTAAGTGATAGCATATTCTTGGACGGGGAGGCCCTGGCCAATCCTGAATGTGTCAGTGGAGACATTCAGTTAAGGAAGAAACTCCAGACTCTGCTCTCAGCCTTAGAGGAAACTCACCCCAAACGTCTGAGCCTTCCAGCTTCTCCACATCTTTCCAGGATGTAAATTATCTATCTTAATGGGGAAAGCGGTCAAACTGTTCACTTTCTACTTATTTCTACAGCTAGGAAATCAGATGAAGCTTCAGTTTAGCAGTGTCTTAAAGACCCATAATTTTCATCCAAACAAAAATGGGAAAGCTGATGCATGAAGAGAAAAAGCATAATGAAAGGTCTGAGGCTCGTGTGGAGGACTAACGCCACAAGTAGCAACACAGTCCAGGTCCTTCTCTTCTGTGTGCACACACACCCAGCCTGGGGTCGCACTGCTGCACACACACGTGTGCACCCGCCCACTCTTACACTCACATGCATTCTCTCACATGTGTGCACACACACTCACGCTCTTTTTTCTCTCAACGACAAACATCCTATAGATGGCCAACTCTATACCACATAGCACCCGAGTTAGGAAAAATGCCTAAGAGAGCATATCACTGACTCCAAACCTACTGCCTCCATTGCCACATAAACCTCATTCAAAAGTTATCCAAAGGGCCACTGAGGTTCATTTCCGCATCTGCCTTTGTTTTTTATTTTTGGAGGGAGAGGAGCTATTCCTATGATTTTCCCACTGTACTGCAGAGACCTTCTGCAGTAAGCACTTCAGTAACTGCTGCAGATACCCCCTCATCACCCTCTAGGGCCTGTTCACTCCACCTCTACAGAAAAACTCATGAAAAGGGATGACAGCTATGAATTTGAAGTGAGCACTTCCTATCTCTAACTCAAATCACCTAGAGTTCACAAACCAGAAACTTAAATGTAGCCCTATAACTGGCAGGCAGCCAAGCTAGAAACTGAGTATGGCCCTTCAGTAGCCTTTGAATGGAGTATAAGTTGGCTGTAAGAAGAACTACTTAAAATATTTAATTTCAATATGGTCAGAAACAGGCAATTAGAACAAGCAGTCCTTCAATCAGGCAAAGCAGAGAGAAGAGCAACTCCAACCAAACCAAGAACCACAAGGTTGTGGCATTTTCAACGGGAATTTAAGTTGGGTCACTAGAATAAGTAGGTCTGAGATCCTCCAATTCATTTAAAGAAACCCTAGATACAAACTGCGCTTTGGATTGCTGTGCAGAGTGGCTTAAGAGGAGAAATCAGTAAGACGGTGTACATACCATAGGCAGGGGCAGCTGTGCTGTAACCATATGGTGTTCCATAGCCTGGTGCAAAGAAGGAGAAAGCACATCAGTCCAGGAAAAAGGGCAGAGTCAGCACCGGCCCCATTCACAAGGACCACCCGGCCCGGCGCCTTTGGCCCCAAGGGCTCCTTCCAGGTGCTGGCTCAACCAGAACCCTTCCCAGAATGGCCCGAGTCCACCGAGATTCCTCCATGCCTATGTAGAGTGGAAGCTTTTTACTACGGCCTACCAAGCTCTCCTGACCTACCAGAATATCCTGTTTCTTTCTCACTACACGTACCACATTGTATTATAATTATCAACCCTTTGTCTGTGTTCCCCCCTAGAATGGCAGAGACTCAAGTCTTATACATCTTTGCAACACTTGAACCTAGCAGAATGTCTGGCATATAGTAACCACTCACACATTTTTGTTCAACAAAAGAATACTTAGAACCACTCAAGTTACCAATTTCTCACAGTTGGAAAATAGGAATTTCCAAGTCTTTTTTTCAGAAAGCAGTGACAGAGCAGGCTAAAGCCTCAACTGCCACTGAAGAGGGCGCACAGATCAGGCTGTGGGCTCGAGGGCAAGGTCCATGTCTTGTTGCAATCCGAATTCTGGGCCCCAGCACAGGGTCTCTCAGTAAATGTTGTTAAAATTGCCATTAGCATCTGGTGCCTATGAAGAAGGCTCATATTATCAATAAAGTACAAAGAACACAAAAGTTTTTGAACCATTTAGTTCTGGCACTAGTTTCTTATATGTCCTTAGATATGTAACCTCTGAGTTGCCACTTTCATCTATAAAATGGGAAACCCTCCAAGCTACTTTATAGTTTTAAAGGGATTAGAAATACTACATTAATAGAAATGACAATCTTTAATCTTTCAGTAAAATGACTTTAAAACATATAAATACTAAATCACTTGGGTAAATCTCTAGGAAAAACTGGTTTCTAAAATAGAACAAGGGCACAAAATCTACATGGGCCCTTCACATTGTACCCAAAACAAATCAAGCTTTTTTACTTTATAGCCCCTTTTTCTATAATCATTTCTGCCGCTAGAATGATTTTTTTTCTTCTTCTTCTCTAGCTGACCAACTGCAACTCATCCTTTAGGTATCTATCACCTCCTCTGTAAAGTCCCCCAGGCTTGCTGTTCACTTTGCCCACCCCACGTCACAGCTTGCATCATATTACACGGTACTTTCTCAAGTGTCTGTTCCTACCCCATGTGACCCCGAGCATTCACAGGGGCAGACGCTAAGTGTTGGTCATCTTTGAATGCTCAGATCTAAATCTCTTGTTTGAGATAAAACATTCAAATATATGTTGAATAAGTAAATTGCTTTTGGGGACTAACAAACATTTTCTTAGAGATAAAAGTTTTTCA